TCCTCCAAACTCTAGCAATTTGGTATCCATCCGGGATTTTTATCCAAATATTTGAAAAGTAAAGTAAGCGTAAGTACATGTTGTACTCAACAAATATAACATGGGGTTCATGAGTCTCAAAAGACTGACACTAGTTTAACTGCGATTAGCTTTTAATGAGTCATGATTTTAGCAATTAAATAGCAACAAGTTTATCACAAGCCCATGTAAACACATGATCAGGTAAACATGAATAATGAATAGTATAAACAGTAATCATTAGTAAGCATCTTTATCATCAGTATTATCAGTGTTTATCATCTATTCCGTAAGGGTCCAAGGTCGCTCGTGACCGTGAGCACGGCTGATATACCAGTTTTACACTCTGCAGAGCTTGTACACTTTCACTGTGAGTCGTGATTTACCCTTTCGCCTGAGGTAGCTAATCTCTTGACCCACTTCCAAGGAAGGTTGGCAGGGTTCACTATAAAGCCTTTCAAAGGTTGGTTTAACAAGTTAGGGCCATTAGATTCACTCGGCAAACAGATGTAGGAATCCCCCTTCTCGATGGCACAATGACACGCAACCTATACACAAGGGGATAGAGGCTATCCTATACCCGATTCGGCAAGCCATTCTTACGCCAATAAAGGTAACCACTATCAAGCTAGAAAATGTCCTTATACTGAGTTAAAGCCAGAGCCATGTAGCCTTCATAGCTGTACTGTAAGTTTTGGATGTTCACTTACAGATAAGTTCTTAGGAAGAGAAATCTAGAGCACCATAAAACAGTCCAATGCTCTAGCCCCTGGTTCCATGTTGCTAAAAAACATCTTTTAGTGTTTATTGCATATACCATTAGTCAAGTTACAAAATCATTGTCTTTAATTGAGCACTAGCATCATACTACCCAATGCATAAACCCATATGTATCAAGGTACAGGGTAACAAAGTACTAGTAAATCCTTAGTGGTAGTCAAGGTAGACACATACAGTATGAATTAAATGATTAAAGGTGTATAGGACAACAATGATGATCCCATGCTCTAATTGCCTTAAACTCAGATCCTTCTTCTATTGAATTATAACCTCCAAAAGACTTCTTCTGGATCACCAACTTCTTTTATATCACCAACGCAAAGCTCATTGACTGAACATGATCATAAATCACCATACAAGCATCAATGCAATCATACACGAAGCAAACAATAGAACTAAATTAGAACAGTACACCAAACATAATAAACAGCAAGTAAAAAGGTTTTAAAGATGTTCTACACGTTACTACGATCACACAGGCGCGAAAAACACGCTAATCGGAGCTATAACGAAGATGTTATGAATTAAACAAGATTTCCTTTAATAAAATAATAGATTAAATCTAATCTCAAATTTCAAAAGTTTAAAATATATTTAACAATAGCTTGAACATGTAGATTACGCAATTAAGAATCTAACGCAACTTGAACGGATCAAATCGGAGTTAAAACGGAGATTTTATGGCTAAAACAAGATTAGTGGCAAAACTGTAAATAGATGAAAGCGTATTTTAAATCTAACCGAGGGAATTTACGCTTTCTAGAAGAGAAAACGTATTTTCGAAAGCTGCCATGGACTGCGGGTTCTATACTAGAAAAAAGGCACGAACTCTTTTGTAAATTTTGCAGCGAAGGGGTACGATCTAATCCTGGCCCTTGATCTTGGATTAGACAGACGAAAATAGATCACACGGAGAGAAAAGGCATAGCCGGCCAGCGGCGAGGTTTGGCGGCGGTGGCGCCATGGCCGGCACGGCAGCGTTCTTGGGGAGGAGCCTACGGGCCATGGTTTTGCACAGGAAAGGCACGGAAAGAGAGAGAACGGCGAGGCGAACTTACCAAGGTGGATTTCGGTGGCGCGCTGCGCACGGCGAGGCGGTGAAGTGGCTGCGGCTCTAAGGCTTAGGATGGACGGGGCACGGTGTGGCGTGTGATATTTATGGCCCGGTGAGCCTTGGGATGCACGGCAAGGCGGCGAGGCGTGGATGGCTCGGACTCCTTGGCGCGGCGATGGTAAGAGTCCGGCGCGAACGGGAGGTAGGGGATGACGATGGGGTCGCTTTGTCGATCATGCTAGCGTGGGAGAGAGGGAGGCTCGGCGTGTGTGGGGGTTAGCTAAGGTGGCGGTGGAGTGGGCGATGAGGGGGCGCAGTCTTTGGGCGGTGGGAATGGAGCAGCGAGTTGAAATAAACAGGTGGCCCGCGGAGGAGAAGTGGGCCGCGCGGGAAAAAGGAAAAGGCCGAGCAGGGTTAGGCTGGCCTGCTAGCAGCGCAGAGAGGGAAACTATGCCAGGCGCGGTAGAAGAGTGGGAAGTGAGGAGCAGGCCGGAGTGGGCCAGAAATGAGAGGAAATTTTTTTTTTTCTCTCTTTTTCGGAATTCTATTTTCAAATCTATTTTCAAAAACATTTTAAATAAATTAAAATTTGGATCAAACCACTCGTCACAATAAACAAAATGCAATGGCATTAATGCACAAAAATATTGCTAAGCCTTATGTTAAATTTTAATTTAATAAAATTATTATTTACCTATGTTTTTATGAGCACAAAAATACCAAATTAAATCTTTTTAACCCTATTTCAAAAAGAGCAATTTTTAGGGTGTTACAATTTCTAAGCTAAATAAGAGAACTTCATATTCGGCTGGAATGTTACTGCAAATATAGTTTAATCCGCTTGATGTCTCAAACAACACCATTGTGATAAAAATAATGATTATGTCAACACCTTGGTTTTCTTTGCAAGCTGCTTAATTGAAGGGGAAATTAGATATGTATCATTGAAAGATCTGAAGTTTAGAAAAATAGCATTGTTGGGTGAAACAATCACACAGACACCAAGTTTGAACACAAGTGTAAAGTTGTATTTATTTCCTCCTTGTACAGTACATGCTAGAGGGAGTATTTATAGAGGTCCTAGTCTTCGTAAGTTGTATACAAATAACCATTTTACCCCTCTTTCTAATCAATACAACTCCTTTAAACTACAGGAGCGAAGTTATCTTTTCATCTTCGAGAGTTCAATCTTCATGCCCTTTTGTTAATCTTCGAAGTCACTTTCTTCAAAGGTGTCTTCGCGCCCTTGAACTTGAATGTTCTTGTCGTGAATCTTTTAGACTTCGCAAGTTGCGCGAAGTCTTCATTCTTCACATTGCTCCCATTCATTCGACGAGGCCTAATGGCGATTTGATTCACAAGATGAAGTCTGATACTTTTGACAAAGCCTGATACTTTCGACGAAGCCAACTTTCGACGAAGCCTGATACTTTCGACGAAGCCAACTTTCAACGAAGCCTGATTCTTTTGACGAAACGAAGACTAAACCGTTATGCCATTCAGGACTGCGTTCTGCGAGGTCAAGTTCCCAACAAGCATTGAAAGATTCAACTTAAGAAAAATAGCATCGAAAGGTCACTCTGTTGCAACTTCTACCATTTGTGTTAAGGTCGCTCTGTTGCAAACTTCTACCATTTCTATTAGGGCAGCCCCAGTGCATAGTTTCTATATGCAGTTTTTAAGTGTAATAAATTCTATTTTAGACCTAAACCTTCCAATCATAGTTTCTATAGTAGTTTTTAAGTCTGAAAAAAATAGTGACCTCATACATGCTTCACCAATAAAGCTTGATCAGTTGTAGCAAGAATGTATGTACCAATACTGCCCACGTTACCTTAGGAATTATGACGTTGGCTAACGATAAGTACTTGTCTCACAGATATAAAGTAGCATTGAAAACGAATTAAAGATCAAATGGAAACCAAAGACAGCAAAGAAACCAAGCTAGCCAAGAACATGCCCCCTTGAGGAGCTACAGGTAGTAGGCGAAGTTTCTTAGACGCATCTCAATATTTAATGAACCTTTACTTACACTTTATCAAATCATTTTTCTTTGTTTTAGGAACCACGTTAGTTTAGACAATATGTAAAAACAAGATCACTAGGGAAGCAATCTTTTAAGAAAGCTCTGGTTGAGACTGTTGTCACACATAGGACTTAGAGTAACTTCAAGAGACTCTTCGTATATTCTTGAATTTATAGAAATAGATATTTTGATGAAAAAAATACCCTCCAACAAGCTTTTTAATTGAATCTTCAAATATAGATCCTCTATTCCAGATATCTCGCTAGCCAAAGATGGAGAGTGAGGATAGCTCTCTGGAGTGCACGATATTGAAACATTGTTGAAGAGTACAAATATACAGACTGATGGTCAACTCCGTTGGATTGAGAAAAACGGTTCTCTTTCCCTAAAAACTACTATCATATAGAGAAACGGGGTGGAAAAAAAAAACTGAGCAGATCCCCTTTCCTTATATCCTTTTTCTCAAAAAATCTCTCAAATAGAGGGAACATGCAGGTTTTTTTTTTCTCCATCCTCTTTTCTCCCTCAATCTACTAGAACTAGAGCACAATTTTCCTATACTCCAAAAGTCTGTTTTCTCAATTCCCTAAAACTGCATATAGAGAATTGGATATCCTCAATCTGGTTGAGATGCTCTTATAACTAGAGCGGGCACCGGCCGCTAGCAGGTGGGACCTCTACTAGCGGTGCTGGCCAATATGTATTGTCGAATATACAAAGTGTTGCAACACACAATTTAGACCTGCTTAGCGATTTTAGCACATGGACTACAACCACATTGCGCCGAAATTAGTTCAAAAGTAGCTTTCGTTCACCAAAACTCCAAAAGCAAGTTTGGTTCCCAATGAACTAGTTCAAGAGTAGCTTCTTTCACCAAACGCTACTATGCGGTAACAGTCAGGTGCGACTTAAATCATCACAAGCCACGGAAGCACAACCCCATGACCAGTCCTGCCCATGACTCCGCATTCCTCGGATGAAGCAAACTCATGACGAGCAACTTCAGTTAGTAGACATGGTCACAAATTGCACTTGGTGCAGATAACCCATGTGCAACAGCTTCGCAATCTACACGTCAGCAGAGGCATTCCAACAGGGCTGCAGTGTGTCTGTTCTTGCAATTCAATTAGTGAAGCACTTCCATCCATGATTCCATCTAGCAGGAGTTAAAAATTTTCCAAGGCTGAGGTACAGGAAGTGACAATGGACGATATTATCTTTCTCTGCAGATCTTTGTAGTCCAATGATAGCTTCACATCCCAACTGGCGCTCTCCCTGCAGGGAATCAGATGAACTAGAGTGGGTAAGTGATGCTGGTGCGTGGAATCAGCACAAAATGGGTTTGAGCATGAAGCAGCACCGGTTGGAATCATCTTGCTCAGGCAATACTTCGAGCATGGGATTGAATATGGACAGGATTGTTTCCAGCACCACCTTGTCGTTTTCCTTTATCTGAAAGTACAATGAAAAGATGGGATTTAGATGAACATCGATCAAATGACGTGGCCCGCACATCATTCATGAAAACATCACAGCATCCTTACATCGGCTTCCGTAGTGGATTCGTCTATATCACAACCTAGAGCAGCACGGAGATGGGACAGCAAGGGCTGAGGCAGGCCATACGTGGGAAATCCTCCAGATCTGGACAGCCATGTCCCACGAACCATTTGAGTAGTTTGGCTTGTAGTCACAGACTGAGCTGTGCCATCCTCATCATCCGCAGATGTGTCAACATCTGCACATAATCATGCATCTGTAATATGATTTTTGTCTAGATTTTACTTGCTTGCATAGAGAAATAAAGGATGCACAAAATATATTGATCACAAACGGGGAGCCTGCTATTCATGGAAACTGTGCCTAGTCCCTAAGCAATTGAAATGGCAATGATGGTTGGACAGAAATCAAGATAGCCAAACTAAACTATTGTAACAGGTAAATTAGACATTAGAGATCTAGGCCAACCAACATTTCATTGGCAAGACAGCAGAATTAACCTCTCTACATGCAGATCTACATGCAGCTAGGAATACAACTACCCGTAACAGATTACCTAAAGGTATAACATCATAAGGGTTATCGCCTCTTGGTAGGAAACCATAGAATGTAACGAGATGTGACCCTGGATGTTTCCCATAACTGAGAAAGCATTGCTCCCCTGCATCACAGGGTCGAGACAAAGGAAACTTCAATGATTTTGTAGCTTCATCTACTCGACCATAGTTCAAAATATGAGGGGACACCTTGAGAAAATATGAAAAAGAGAACATGAGAAACAAATCTGAAGACTAATAAAACAAAACTTCCAGGGACAGAACTACAAACCGAGTGATTAAGAAGTCCTGCAACAGGAACCAAGCAAGTTGATAATTTCCCACTACTTAGAACAATCATCATACTGTTGGAATACCATAGTTCACATGCCCACAGAAAATTATCCCATGCGCACACATCCTTCCGGAATATCTCAGGAAAATTTGTGCATAGTAAGGGAAATAATTCATCATACTGCTGGCGCAAGTGCTGCAATAAAGAACCAATTACTGCTTTGTACCAATTGAGCAGTGATTTACAGAACTAAAAGAACAATATTACAAACCACAATGGTATTACCTGCTTAGCTTGCATTATCTCATCAAAAAGAAGGGTTCCTTCTAATGCAGCAAGTGCGTCGATTCCAAAACTCAAGCCTGGAAGTGCATTTGGTGAAATTATTATTTGAACTAGATTAAGGACTTTTCTTACAGGACACAATAAAATTCTTGTACCTGTATTAAAATTTGCCGGGAGTGTATCAAAGTATGGTTTAAACTTTGAAGCTAGATTATAGCGCTCTCTCATGCTCCACAACAATAACATAGTCTCAGAAGTGATATTATTGAAATCTTTTAATGCAAGAAACTGCAAACAATATTGAAAAATTTATTTATAGACAAATCAGAAACCCACATTTTGAGTCAGTCAGTACCGAAAGTAGTTCGGTGCTTAAGAAACACAGGGAATTAGATTAGGCCTCCATTAGATTACCAAAGGAGAACATACCACTTCAGATTGACAAAGAAGTTCATCAGATATGATGAGGGACTCTGGAATTTCAAGAGCAATATCCCCCACACCTATACTTTCACAAGCTACCATTCCTCTTCCAGCTCCCTGAAAAACTAAACCTTCGGAAATCAGATAAATCATGTATGCTGATACAAAGAAGTGTCCGTGAAGACAGCATTCAATGATCAATTTTAGTGAAATTAAGTTGGATAAAAAATTTACTAGAATAGCTAAGCATCCTAGTAATCAGTATGAGTAAACAAACTTCTTACTAGGTCATTCACTGACATCTACTGACTCGCCATCTATACCACTATCTCATCTATCTTCTGGTTAAAATACATTAACATAGACATTGTCAGTACATCCATTATTAATAGGATGAACATAAAAGCTCAAATGGACATTGTTGATTTGCAAACACATTAAAAGTGTGGAAAGATAAAATGTTAATGAACACCAAATGACTGTAGCATCAAGATTTTCTTTACATGCATGCTCTAACAAAGAATGTAGGAAAGGCTCTCAATTTTCAATGGATGGCATTGGACATATGCTCAAAGCACTCATAATTTATCAGCAAGTTCTATGGAGACTTACAGGCTATCTGCAATTTAGATTTAACACCAAGATGCTCCCCCCATTTCAGAAGAGAATCTTCAGCATCATGGTTCTGTGTTTGAACAACCATCCAAGCATCGTCTGACTTTCCAACAGATTTGAGCTTAACAACTATCTCATCCTGTAGTATCTGCAGTACTTCCTTGGCAGCTGCATTGGAAGTGAGAAGCAATTTTTTCATTGTTTTGAACAAAAGATTTAGAGATTCAAGTTCATTCCTTGCAGAGAATGGACCGACATTATCTCCTGCAAAATAAAGCTCTAGCTGCAGAAAATTCACACAGATCATCTCGTTAGAATGTAGAGGTGAATAAACTCCAGAGCCAATCAATAATGAGTGACACAGCATGGAATACCTCATCCATGTACACTACCCTAGCAGCTTCAATAATCTGGTCCAGTAATTTGAGGGCATCGGCAGCAGAACATGTAACAGGAACCTGAATTTCACAAGATAGGTTCCTATTTTCCAGCATCCTCTGCATTTAAGAAGAAACAAAAGGAACTTACTGGAACTTTTGAAATTCTCCACAGAAACATAAATTGTATGACTATAAAGAAAACACAATTTTCGGTTTATTCCAACTCATCATCTGGCATGAACTGTTCAACCATAACACAAAAATAAAGGAAATCCACATGACAAACTATACTGGTAATTTTTTTTATTAACCCAGCATCTCAAGAGACCACTCAGAAATTGATACTGCAGTAGGCTTTCACTACAAAGCTGATAGAAACCAAAGAACAACAATTGATATCGTGTCAGAAAAAATCGCCACTCAGATAACGGTAGCAGACACCTTTTCTGCTGCACAAGTTCTCTTCAGGGCCAGCAAGAGCCATCTATCATATCAGAACTCGCTTAAGGAATGCAAAACTTTGCTCCATAAGAAAGGGAAGATCCTTAATTTTTAGAAGAAACAAGAATAAACACTCCTTACATCTTCTCAAGCAATAAAGATTAAACTGTCTCACTCATCGACTAGGTTGTACTCCTTAAAAAATGGAAATAAAATCCAGCAATTGTTTACTCAAGTAAAAGTGAGTAAGAAATTCCTAGCAAATTCATCTCCTTTAGTCTCCCTCCCTTAACCACAAGCAAATTCTGGTCGATTCCCAACAAAAGATAGATCATTTTAGCTGTTTCCCTACAAAATTGAAAAAGCTCAGTTTTCCAATCCAGTAACAAACTTGAACTACCCGCGCCTTGACCAACCTCCACATAACCAAGTGGAATACTACAATCGATTAGGCTTCTCATATGGGTTGATCCTACGAAAAGAGCCGAGCTTCTTTCTAACGCCTGCGCCGTACCTTCTTCTCTGCGTGAAGGGGACCCGCCTCCGACAGAGGCGGCAGGCGAACCTCCACCGCCACCGCATCACCTTCCGCTCCCAGCTTCGCCGCGCCCGCCGCCGCCGCCATGGTATCCCGTATCCGGACGCCGCCGCTTCGCCCCGGGACGGTGAAAGTTTGTGTTTTGGGCGGAAATGAATCCGGTGAGAAGCCATGGGCTAGTGCGAATGGCAGCCCTAAACCCTGCGTTGCAATTGGGCCCCCATTATGTGAGAATCACATGAAGCTTCTGCAAAGGGCTGAAGATACAGGGATACCCACCCTGCCCATGAAAACACTTATCTCCTGCAACTATAAAGAACAAAACGTGGAAACTTTTTGGTACGACATTTTAACATGGCTCCATCGTCCTGCCCGCTGCGATCCCGCACCCCCCTCACTACTACGTCCCTCCCTTGCGTCAAAATAAGGAAAGAAACCTCGCTCCTCCCTCCTCCGCACCCGACACACTCCGTCAATGACGCACCCGACCCGCGCTTCTTCCTTCCTTCCTCCCCCCGTGGTAGATCGTGCGCTCCTCCCTCCCCCGCGCGGTACGATCTCCGCGTGGGAATCGCTCGCCCGGCTTCGCTCGCTCCCGCGCCGCGCGTGGTGGACACGGCGCCAATCACTCCCCTCCCCCTCGCGCGAGATCCCGCATCAGCCTCCTCTCCCATGCCTGCCCTCGCGCCTTTGCTCCATCCCCGCGCTCGCCACACCGACACCTCCTCTCTCTCCCTACCCTCGCGCCGCCGCACCATCATCCTCCGCGCCTGCACCGGCACCGGCATGCGCCATCGACCTCGCCGTTCGCTCCTGCACCGTCGACCTCGCCGTCGTCCTCAATCCGTTTCGCCCACGCCGCGCCTGTTCTCCCTCCCTGTCGCGAAGCCACGCCGACGCCGCAAGGCCGTGCCGAGAAGGAGAAGGCCCACCGAGTAGGCGTGCTGCCCTCTCCTGCTCCAACATCGTGCCGCCGCCTCGCCCATCCCAGATCCACGACTTTTACTCATCCAAGCACACGACTGGGCGACCACACTGCTTCGCCTGTCCACCCAGAGACGAGCAACCAACAAGTATGCCTACCAACTTAGATGCTTTTGCGTTAATAATAGGAGTACATGTGTAAACCCATGTTCTTTACCTTTACTGGTCCGCCTCTCCAAAGAGAATGAAACTTTGTATAATATATTTTTTGAGAGACTTTTTAAAATGAATGTATATGATTTTTTTGTTCTTTCACATGTCTACCATGTTCTTTATTGGGCCAGTCCCCGTTGCCGTTTTCAAATGATCGATTCGTATGAGAATTATTTTTTTTCAAATCATTTTAGTGTTTGTATATAAGTAAAATCTCAGTGAGCTTTTGCTAGGCGCTTAATACCTGAAGAGTTGTAATTCTTATGAAGCAGGGAAACATGACCCAGCTTTTTTTTACCTTTAACATTCTGAAGATCTGAGGTACGAGGGAACCTTGAATGTACCTCATGTTTATTCTGTGACTGTCCTATGCTTTAACACGAAATTCGTGCAAGTCTTGGAGCTTGTTAGACCTCCAATACTACAAATGAATTGGAGCAATTTTATCTGCATCTACATGTGACTGTCGCTGGCTAATAAATGTGTTCATGCGTCTTGGTTACTCTTTGAATCTACAGCTTCACAAGCCAAGAACCTGTAGATTGTACAAGGTAGTATCATTAGATTTGGGAAGTCCACATAGAGGGCAATCTCAGTGAACTTTTTGTTGATTATTTGTAGACTGAATCATCCCCTACTTACTTAAATCATCCCTTTCATTCAGAAACTAATCCAGTTCAATTAATATGTGAATTTGTAAACTTCATATTTATCTGCTTTATGAAATCTGTCAGTTATTCAGTTGCTCCACAATCTCTCCGAGTTACCTAATATGAAATGTCACCGCATCATCATTACCCATTTTTGACTTTTGAAACTTGGGTTCACACAGTGATGATGTTTTCACTACCTCTCTTGTACCATCACAAATAGTCCATGTATATTATGAGCGCGATAGATCGACCCGTGCATGGCTTGCCATTTTGTTTTAATTGTTAACCACAGTTTAATACACACCTCGATAGGCACATCAAAGGTCATCGCGTGCCATCAAGGTGTTTGTTGTAGTCCTACAGATATTGGCACTCCATTTGCAGGTAAATTATGTGACTGGTGGATAATTGGCATGATTCTTTTTTACTTTTGAGTTTCTGATATGTGCCTAATGATTTACTGGTTTTGATCTTGTTTGTATAAAAAATACATGGAAGTCCAATGATAATAAACAGCGAGACTTTGTGCAGAGTTATATTTGTGGTTTTGGTCATGATTATTTTTTCCTATGGGTTTGTGCTGGTTACACTGTATGTTCCTTCAGGGTTTGTGTAGTGTAGGGTCTAATGGAAGTTCAGATTGGTTACTTCCCAGTTCTGAAAAAATAAAAGTCAGAAAATCTATTGGTTTATTCACTGATGCGAATTTAGATTGTTGTACTGGATATGAGAGGAGTTCCTGAAGATTTTTAATTCCTATGGTCGTATAGATTGGATACTTCCCAGCATTTTGGAAAATAGAAGTGAAAATCTATTGGTTTCACTAATGCGAATTTAGATTGCTGTAGTTGGATATGAGAGGAATTCCTGGAAACTTAATTCCTATGGTCTTTGATTGATTGTAGTAGCTCTGATGTAAAGAAATCCATTTTTCTTTTTCTATTCTGAATGTTAGACCTTTTTTTTTGCTTCACCTTTACCTATTCTGAATGTTATATACAACCAATTGATTAGGCTGTTACCTTACTTTAGCTATGTTTACAATCAAATATACAATCTGTGGAGAAGTTTTGCTTAGCCAATTACACTCTGCGTTGTTGTTTGCAGCATTTTGCTTGATGCCAATTTGATCTAGAACTTGCAAAATTGAATCGTCCATGCAAATAATGACATTACTTTCTGATGTTCAGCAGCTACATCCTTGCTTTGCTGCTTTTTATTCTCATGAGACTTATGAATGACTATGTGCATGTTCTGCCAACTAATTTCTTGAGTTTTATATTATTCTTCTGAGACCTATGAATTATGAAGCATCCTTTGCAAAGACCTGATAATATGTTTACTGGAACAAATCATCTATTGATATTCTCAATCTTTTTAATGTTTAGATTTGGATATTACAAAGCAATCTAAATTTTGCGACAGTAAATGATTGGCAATCTGATTGAGCAACCATACATAACTAGCACTTGCTAATATGCTTGGAGTATTATTGTTATTACTCAGTGCTTATGGCTGCAACTAAATTGCTTACTGTGTTTCTGCTCCATATAAGTGACGGGTAACTTCTTGGTATCGTGCTGTATGAATTCAGGCACGTAAGCTAAAATCAGCATATAATAATTAGGCTCAAGGAGGGTAGACTGCCGAAGTACTTAAGCCCTATAATTCTTGTTTTATGCTTTTATTCATCTTAGAATTTAAACATGGGTCCAGCTGCAATATTTCTGTGCTTGTACTAGGTTTTCGTATGCCTATGTTTGCTGAAAATACAAGGCAACCATACAGAATTAGCAGTTACCTTGATAAGAGGATCTGGCAATAAATTTTATGCTTGTGAATGCTTTGTTATGCTATTATCTTCAGAATATGGTTTTGCATCCTTATGTGCTCATAAACCATCATGAGGTTTATTTGTAACCTTCATAGTTTGCATCCATCTTTATTATAGGAGAACAAGAGCGCTGGAATATTGGTGTCCTTCTTTGAATGTTGACTGAGTTGCTACCATTTATTCATCAGAGAGCTGTACAAACTTGCTCCTTTGCGTCCACAATTTTTTGGCACTATGCCAATGCTTACTACTCCTAGCTGTAAATCAAGATTTGTTGCATAATGTGTTTTCGGAGAGCTCATGCGTATTCCCACTTTGGAAAAGCCAGAGCATCTAATTTCTACTGTCAGGAAAGAGAGCGAGCGTGCAAGCTTGATTCAAGATCATCAATTGAGGCCTCCCACTACACTGACCTATTATAGGCTCTTTTAGATGCTGACGAGGTAAGATAAGTTTTCCTTCTTACTGCCATATAGATGTTAGATTTTGGGTTTCATGCCTAAAATTGTTAATGATAGTCATGTTCTACTCATCCTAGCACATCACAACACAAGGTGAATCATAGTTGTTATCTACATAGCTGGGATCTTACTAAAGTGAAATAAAATAGAAAGAAGAAATTTGACAGAGCCACAAGATATGAACTACTCTGAATTTATATATGCCTTTGATGTTCAGGTTAGGCAACTCCTGCTATTGGTCTCTCAAGATATCCTTCTAAAAAATCAAGCACATCCATCCATTTGCAGGTACACATCCTAATTCTGTTTAATACCAAACTTTTTGTTGTCTATCAAACTTTGAGGTGAGAAAATTGAAGGAATCAAGATACACAGGTAGCTTTTTGTCCTGTTGATCGCCACTTGGTTACAACTGACACAACGGGTAGTAGTTTTCTAAATCGAGGACCCAACCCTAACTTAAGCTAATTGGTTATTTGTATTCGGATCTGATCTAATTACATTTGTGTACATGTATTATGCCAGCTAACTTCGACCACTTTTAGAGATTAATTTCTGATTGAAACTAGGGATTAATTTTGTGTTCAGTTTCATCATAATGGAACCTATGCAAAATAACTAAGGTTGTCCACCATTTGCAGACTTGACAAACACCATTAATAGAGGTAATTGTTTTTACACATGTCCATAGATATTTTCACTTGTATTATTTGTGGTGATTAAGTAAATATCTATCAACTTATTTTCAAATAGCGGGTCAGACAACATCAAATTCACAAGCGCAAGTTGATGAACGTGCACATCGTAAAAGGGAAAGAGAAAAAGCACGACATGCAGCAATGACTCAAGAAGAAAGGGATGAAAAAAATAAAAAACATAGAGAAAAGTATCTTCTAAGAAAGGTGGAAATTGCACTTGCTGTTGGGTTGAGAGGTCCACCACATTCTGATTTTCTGTTTCTAAATTCAATATTACCATTTTTTAGTTTATTTAATGTATAGT